AAAAAATTCGGACACAAATAACTAAGCTAAGAAAACGAGCTAAAAACAAGAGCACATTTCACATGAAGATTTCTCTTGTCTCAGAAGAAACTTGAATTGTCCCAAGGGAATCAAAGTACGTACCTTCAGATCCTGCTGTAGAGCATTCCATGTTGACGGAGCAGAGTATGAGAATGTCTTTTTTCCAAGTTCTGACCGTACTAATGGAAGACTGAAGGAGAGCGTAGCCTGTGACCGGACTGTCTAAGTGACTATTTGCAGAATTAGTTCCTTTGAGAATGTCTTACATATCAAAGTAAATGTGTTACTGCATGATATCCTTAACTAATTTAAAAATCAATCAAACTGAATCGTGAATCGTCCTGAATCGTTGTGAATCGAATTGAATTGGGAAATTTGAATCGCTACCCAGCCCTGGTTTGGACATTTCCGAAGTTAAATGCATCCTGCAAAAACCTCTGTGATTATGACTTAAGTTGATAATGAGTGTGCTTTATGTTTTGTGTTTGCTGTTTACTGTTAAGTATGAGGTTTTGCTTCATGTCAGAATAATTTTTCTTGTTTCTTTGTCAGAGTCACTGTAGAAATTGGCTGAAGACCGGTAGCTGCAGTTACGGCAACACTTGTCGCTACACACATGGAACTCAGCCACGAGGCAAAGGATTCAGCTTTAACCGGTGAGAATGAGCGATAGAGTTTGTAAACAKATCGAGTTTAGATTTATTTGCTGTTATGACCTTAGTTATTTTTTTGTATACTAATTATTCTATGCTTGTGTATAAATATGTCTAAATGGAGCAGGTCAGCAGAGAGACCCACAGGTGATCTGCGGGAGAGGATGAAAAACAAACGACAGGATGTCGACCCGGAAAACTTGAAGCGAGACTTGGACGAGCCGACATCCCCGACAGTGAGAGTGGGTTGTCTGCTTCACTTCTTAGGTGTAGATTTTTCCGATTGACCAGAAAGTTTGTGTCAAAATTGAACGATTGCCCCTGGTGGTTTGTTGCAGAGAGACTCCTCAAGAGGCCGACACAGGGAAAAGGAAGATATAAAGATCACTAARGAGCGCACACCAGCCAGTGAAGAAGAGCCAGCAGAGTGGGATACRAACCGAGAAGGTTCAGTGACTCTTTAATGCAGAAATGAAGCTCAGTTGTTAAAACGGCAAGCTTGTTTGCGTGAAAGGAAACATTTTTTGGGTTTCACATTTCTCTTTATCTCCCAGATTCTGATATCGGTGATTACGACTACGAGTTGTCCCTAGAGATGAAGCGACAGAAAATTCAAAGGGAGCTAATGAAACTGGAGCAGGAAAATTTAGAGAAGAGAGAAGATGTCAAGAAAGACGAGACTTCACTAAAATCCAGAAGCACAGCACTGCCGAAAGTGAAACACAAGGTGAGCAAGGTTCCAAACCTCAGAGTCATTTTTAGTTTTTAGCTGAAATCCTTTTATGAAGACAAAAATATTCTGTCACTGAGTTTCTGCTACATCTTCATCCCTCAGGCCTCAACTGAGCTGYTGAGCTGCAAAGATTCGCCCTCATCCAGAAAGTCTTGCAGCCCCCCAAAACACAAAAGTGGAACTAAAGGGTCCGGCTCCGGGAAGAAGGAGAAGAAGGGATCATTGGCCTTAGCTGTTTCCGAAACCACCAAGTAAGAAGGTTTTGTAGTTTCATCAGAATTTAACACCTTGTAGTCTTCRGTTAATTTTTCATGGAAAGTTGGGCTTTTTAGCAAAGGTTTCATCAGCCCTAAAGTAATTTAAARTATTTTCTGTTCATTTTTTTGGAAATATTATCAGATGGAACATTGCAATATAAGTGTTTATTAAGTTCATTATTTTGTTTATCGTCTTATCAGGTCTTCAAAAGGAAGCCACAGTAAGAAGAAAGGTCCCCGGACCCCAAGTCCTCCTCCTCCTGTTCCTCTGGACATTCCTGTGGTCGGGAAGAAACACAAAGGAAAGCACAAAAACAAGGAGAAGGCTGAGGAGAAGCAGAAAGAMGGGAAAGATCGAGGACGAGACGCAGAAAAACACAAAGAGAAGAAAGAAAAACGCAGGTAAAGATGGGCGTCTTTGTTTGTTTTTCACATTTGGCAACAAGAAACAACAAAACTCRCTCTGTATCTTACTATGAGAAACACCGTGGGGATAATGACCAATCATGGATGCTCCAGTATCACCAAGTCTGTCACTGACAGGCCCGTAACGTGCTTCAGGGCACCTCCGTGTGTGTCTTCACCTTCGTGCGTATATGGTAAAGAGGATGGTGATCCCTCCCTGAGATGCAGGGATCCCATGGGTCCTTGAAATCCTTGAAAGTTTGTGAATTTGAAAAAAAATGATTTCAAGGCCCTGGAAAATTTGTGAAATTAGCCAAAAATTACACTTGTCCTTGAAAGTCTTTGRATGTTTTTTGGGGATTGAAGTTCTCCATTCATGCAACCGATTATTATTATCTGTAAAAAAGAAAATTAAATCAAAAAACTTACCTTTGTTGCAGTGGATAACTCAGGATTACGGTAAACTGATGTGACTTTCAACAAATAACGTGAGCCATAGTCATAGTTTTATCCAATCAGATCAGAGTAGGGYGGGTCTTTCTTTCTGAGCCAAGGTGAAGCACCACAGCTCCTCCTGTCCTCACCGAGCAGCAGCGTCTGGACATGTTCACATCCCCTCCTCCCAAACTGAGCTGCTGAACCTCCCAGGACATAATTACATGTCCATRTWTTGTGGATATGAATGTAGAGTAAACATTTAATCCACTTTCTTTCATTGATTSTGACTCAACAACTTCTATGTTGTTCAGTTTTTCATTGAATTTACATGATATWAAACCTGTTTATTGGTAACAWTCTGTGGTAGGAGGAGGTAAAWGYCGTCGCGCGTGGTTCTTGAATTCAAGGAAACTGGTACTGGAAAGTCCTTGAAAGGTCCTTGAATTTGATGTTGACCAAGGTATGGGAACCCTGGAGATGGTGAGTTTGCAGGAAGCTGGGTGAGGCCAGGACACGACATCCTCAAGCTTGYTTTATACTTTCATTTGACGTGAGACCGCGGATCAGTGATTCCGTAATTTCTGATGTGTTTTTTCTAACTGGGATGAAGACGTGGGAGATAAATTATTATAATTTCTCCCCCTCTGCCCTCCCACAGCGCTCCCAATGTAGTACAGAGCATAGCTAGGCATTTAAACAATGACGATCGATTTTTTTCTCTCAACGTTGTATCAGTGTTGTGTTGGAGGAGGAAAACATTTGTTTTTTTTCTTAACAGTGGAGCTGGAAAACGTTCATGTTCAGACCAGCTGCTTATCAAGGCTGTTCACCTTGCTAATATAGCAAAAAGTGCTTGAGAGAACAGATCGTTTTCAGTGAAATATTGTGCAGAAAAATGTGCTGCTCCACACCCACAAAGTTTTGACCAATCACGCACTGAGAGTCGCGAGGTCCGCAGGACAGAGTTCTGACTGGTGGCGATGCACTCAGCAGGGGGAACAAGACGTGCGACTTGAAGTATAAACCAGCCTTTAGCCTTATTGCCACCCTGTGTCCCCTGAGAGGAACCAGGCATTACGCTGGCACACAGCCTCCTGAAACAAACTTTCAGGGGGAAAGAGAGAATGTCAGATATAGGTCTGAGGTACTTATAAAGGTGGACGTCACCCCTGTGACAAGCACATCATTGGTCTGTCAGTGACACTTGTTGGTATTGGAGCTTCTATGAGTTCCCACAGAGAGATCCCTCACTCAGGTTTCAGAGAACCAGGTTTACTGTAGCAACCAATGGTGTATGTAGTAGTGCTGGGTGGGGCTGCCTCAAACGATTATTTTTATAATCGATTAATCACTGATTATTTATTCGATTAGTCGACTAATCGGATCATACGTTAATTTGAATATAAAACATACAGCTTATCACACCAGAATGCAGCTGCTATTATATAACCATGGTTAGATTTTAGCTATATGCTAACTAAAAATAATTGCTGTGGAAGACAAGTTCTGCTCTGCAGATATTGCACTGGTTTCTCTTTCGTTTCCCACACTTTTGAGCTCTTTTGCCAGGTATCCATGATACCAGAGCCTGTCTGTATAATGTCTTGTGACGTCCACGGCCTACCCC